TAATAAGTCGGTAAAATGAAAAAGAGTGTGCGGCAGAGAAGGAATATGAGGTGGACAAACGAAGCTGCATATACTAGTCACCCTGCGCTGCTTGTTGACAACTCGAATTGAATTACGCTGATGAAGTAGAAAATTACAAAAAAGACCCCAAAAGCTGTTCTTTCCCACAAAACTATGAATTTTTCTCTAGCTTTTTATTCCGCTTTTTGCTTTAAAATGCTTTCTTTTCTACATTCTGTTTTTTTGTTTTGTTTTTATTTTGCTGCCATTTCGCTGTGTAGAAAATCTCTTGAACTCTGCATGCATTTATTTTTCACCTTAACGAGCTGGCAAAACACACGTCGATTTTGGCTCCAACGGCTGCTTGCCTCGCCGACTGGCTAGCTAGCTGTGACTAGAGATGGGGCTATATGGCGATGACGTTGAACTCGTTCTATTGTGGTTGTTATTGTTGTTGCCATGCAGATTTGCATATGAATAACTGGAAGACTGAGGAGCATTTTCTAAGCCCGTTGTTGGATAAGTCAGCGAGTGAGTGTTGAGTGCTCACATGGGACTTCGCCAACATTCACTTCTTAGAAGCTTAACGACGATAACGTACCTATGGATGTGCGAATACTTGTGTCGAAATGTAAAGCTTATGCACAAAACTGAGTCATGCAATGAATACCAGAATGTATTTTATTTATATGGCATACGTGTTGTATTCGACCAACAGACAACGGACTGAACAAAAATTTATTTATAATGTTAAAATGTGTATGTTTGTGTGCACGAGTGTGTTTTGTATTCCTCTCCCCACGCAGCAGCAGGTGGTCTTCGTTGGTAATACTCTTATGTGTTGAATGGATAACGATTCTGCTATATTCATATTACTGTTGTTGAGCTAAAGTTTATTTAAATTAAAGTGCGTGATTTAATTACTTGCTTTTTGGCTTACTTTAAGCGCAAATGAAGTAAGTCAATTCGTGGCACTCACTAGGTTTTATGCGAGATGAGGTGACTATGTTCTCATTACTTATCAACACTTTTACTGATTTATAGCCAATATATTGTTATCGACATATTTATAGTTATCGATAACTTATAGATATAACAATCCGTAAACCAATTTTGGTGAATTGTTTAACGATATCATTATTGATGCATTTATTGTTATCGATAACTTTTTTATTGAAGCATCAAACGATATTGTTATCGATATGTATATGCACATCTTAAACAAAAAGTTTTTGAAGTACATTTTCATCGAAATAAATATCGATTTTTTCTCAATTATTAGATAGCCGTTCATTTATCTATATTATCTATTTATCTCTGCTATATTTTTTTATATCGATAAAGCGATTGCTATCGTTATAGCTGAGAATTAAAAAAAAATGTTAACGGAAGAATAATTTTAACTTAAGTGTAGAAGGATGTGCGAATATATCGTTATTTTTTATATAAATATCGAACGATAATGTTATCGATATACTTTATATACCTTTGACAATATGTTTTTGACATTTGTATTTATAGAAATAAATTTAGATTCTTTAATCTCAATTATTGTCCATTTATTTATCTATATCATATATGTTTGTATCACTGTTATCGTTTTTTATCGATAAAGTGATTGCTATCGTTATCGCTGATAAGGGTTTAAAAAAAATAGAAAGTTAACGGAAGAATAATAGTATCTTAAGGGGTGCGATTATGTATATATTTGGAGTTCATCGAAAACTTATCGGTGTAATAACTCAGTGCAACACTCAAAAAGTGATGGGAATGAGACCAATTGCATTCATTAAAAGAGGTCAAAATGTGAATTAATATCAAATCAATTTTCATACCTCCAAACATATATGTATGTATATAAAAACATATGTATATAAAACATATATGTATATATATATAAAACATATATATATATATATATAAACATATACATATATATAAAGCTAGTAAACTCCTCCCATCCCCTCCCCTTCCCGCTCCGTTAACTTTGGAAAATATGTTTTTATTTATTTTTATTTTTTTAATTATACCTGAAAACACGAAATTAGAAATTGAGGCAAGAAAGAAATGGCAACCAACTTTTTCAAATCCTTTGGTACTTACTTTTTCATTATTTAACCAGCATAATCAAATGCTGTTGGTCCGATTCCCATCACATCCAACTTTCTGAAATTTGTTGCACTGTGAAATTAATAAGCCCAATTTTGTTGAATTATCGAACGATATCGTTATCGATATTCTTATAAACGGATTTAGTTATCGATATCTTCTCGGGAAAATATACATAAATTTTTGTATTGAAGTAAGTCACAAACAATATCGTTGACCATAAACTTTTAGATATCTCTCACGATATATTTTATCGCTTTTTATCTCAAATAATATATATTCATTCTTCTTCATTATCTATTTATCTCTGTTATCAATAATGTGACAGCTACCGTTATCGCTGATAAAGACATAGTGAAATTGCACTGAGGGGGGTGGGACTTATATAACAACAAAACATATCGATCTAAAAACCAGTTTTTGTTGAACTATCGAACGGTATCGTTATCGATGCATTTACAGTTATCGATAACATCTCGCGATAATTTACAATAAATTTTTTCCAGAAGTATCAATCGATATACTTTTATATATCTATAACGTTATATTTCTTGACATATTTTTCGAAATAGATATCGTTATTTTATTCTCAATTATTATACATTCATTACGTATATATCTATTTAGCGCGCTTATCGATTTTTATCGATAGCGTGATTTCTATAGTTATCGCTGATAGGAATTTAACGAAAATAAACTTTAACGGAATAAAAATTTTTCTTATGTAGATGGGGTGACGATTATGTATTTTGAAATCATCGATAGAACACTAGCCATTATTTTAACGTAATGACATGAATATTTTTGAATGCCAAACTTTGTTAGTATAATTTTTGCCATTTGATGCCAAGCGGAATTCCAGCATAAGTCTTGAAATAATTGGTGCTAGGAATGCCCTTCATCAGTGCTGAAAATAGGGTAAGGGCTCTGACCAGCAGTTATTGAAACATATAACAGGTTTCCATGTGGTTGGCAGTTTTATGAGGTAGTTTACGTTCGGACAGTGCATACTACACTTCACTCTACTGTTCATTTTCGGTACCGCAGCTTCTATCGAATTTATTGTAGGCAATGCCCAGCTTTCTGGCGTTGGCACCAAACGGTTAATGACCAGTAAGAACCGTTTCTCGCTTCGTAACGTCAGATGTAAGTTTTTCCCACAGCTTGTCTGTTCTTCTGGGAACAATGAGTTTAGCTATTCGCCAGCCTGACGATCACCCTATCACCCGATTTCTGAAGATTGTTGAGTTGGGAGTGAGATCCGGCTCCCGATTGATGCCAATGTGAAACCCTGCCTTGACTGTCGTCAACCTCAAATAACGGTAGGCCCAGGAAAAAAGCTGTTTCGATGGGGTAAAACCTACGGGAGAAGGATGTTAGCTTAAGGGGTTTAAGTGGAAAGGTGAAGAGAATAGGAGTTTGGGGTCGTGGCGGGATGCTTTACAAGCCGCACATATGTTGTTTGGTTTTTGGGAGTCGACTGGAGTATTCAGACTTTAATTGAGCTAGAATTGCGCTGGTCCATCGCGACAGCTGAAGCTCTTCCTCTGCTATCGGTAGTCACCGAAGTTGGTGAGGGACTCGCTGCGAGTGCCATTAATGGCTTGTCGGTACACTGTCGGATCCAATGGTTGAGTGAAATGTGTCTCTATCGCGTCCCTGAGTTCGAAGAGATGCCTTGTGATGTACATACATGGGAGGTGGCTGTGCTCCCAGCAAGTGCCTGTGCGTAGCAGCGAATAAGAAACTGTTTACTAAGCATGGTGTTATGTCCTGGACTGCGAGCAAAGCGGCCTCGCTGTGTAGGTGGTTTTGGGCGACATCAGAAGGCATCTCGTCCGGAGTGTGGCGCTCTGTCAAAGGTAACCCCTAAGATTTTCAAGTTATTCACCACCCGAGGTGGTTGGTGTCATGGAGGGAGTCTTCACATGCCGGGCACTTATTAGGGATATCTGGGTCGAGTCTGGACAGGTTGATATTGAGGCAGCTACAATATCTTGACCGTAATTAGACTAAACGATTGATCTCCCTCTATTATGCGTTAATTTCATCGCGGAGAGGATTAGGCTCCATACGGTGAGGAAGTGAGAAAGTTCCGAGCGATAGCCGTTTCTCTTCGAACACAAACGTCAGCATATCAGATCAAGGAAACCGGTCTCCGGTGGCTGAGAAAGTTTCGAGATCTGGAAGTTTACCAATAGCTTAGATAGGATACCACTCTGTATGTATATGAACTCTAATGGTCTAAAGGTGGACTGTCGACCACTCATGTAAGTAGTTCATGTCCATCGTTTTAGTTACTGCGGGAGAGATGATGCTGCAATGTCTTCGTCAAACAACTTTACACAGCTCCAGCGCTTTGCGGACAGTTCTTTCGCAGGACTGGTTTCGTTTAAGCCTATGAATTATCTAATCGACTAGCAGGATAGAAGACAACAGAAGGCACGTTCCCACGACAGTCGGGTCTACGTAACCGGAACGACCCAGATTTATATCTGGCCAAGCACTGTCACTGCAGCAACACTCCCCAAAATCTCTTTGCGGAATTTGTATGCTGTTACAATAACAACAACAACAACAGAAGCCACGCCTTGGACCCGCGAGTCAAAAATAAGTATTTCTTTTTGCTACACAAAGCTCCAAATTACTCAAAGGAAGAACACGAAATCAAGATGTACCACATTTAATTTCATTCGAAAACAAACAAAACCCTTATCAGCTGCAACATAATTTTTTTTTTGTGCTGTTTGCAACGGTGCCAGCTGACCTCTGGCATGCTTGACTACACAGCCCACCCATCCACCCAATGACACATATAAGCAAAATAAAAAAAATAAAACATTGGTATTTTTATTATGTATACATACACATTTTATCAGCTGGCCACTTACCTTTAAAATTTGGCTTTTGCGAAAACTCAATTCGTCATCGGCAGTTGCTGAGAAGTCGTGTTTGGCAATTGCTTCCATGCTTGTTGTTGTTTTTTTTTCGTGATTTGTTTGCGTTATGAATTAAAGTTACTTTTGTTGCTGCTGCTGCTACTTGGCAAATTAATTATACAGTTGCTTTAATCTATCTCGATTGTTGTTTTTGTTTAATAATTTTGTGCTTAATATAGATCGCTCAATAAACGTGTATGTGCAGCTTACAATGATTTCCGTCTAGATTTTTCTTTTAAATAAATTATTTTTAGTGGTTTTTATTGTGTTTTGTTAAAAAGATTTTTTTTTATGTCAGCCTTCGTTGTTTGCTTTTATATGAATTTGAGTTTTTTAATTATTATTTTTTATTTAGTTACTGCTAAAATTTGGTGTTTTATTTTTACGTATTTTTGTAAGTAAATTCAACTTTTTTTAGCTGCTTGTGCTTGTTCGCGCTTCACTGATCTTTTTTTATTCTACAAAAACAAAGAATTTGATTTTCATATTAAAAATAACTGCAATAAAATACGTTTAACTTCCTCTTTGCGGCGTATTTTTTATTAAAGAAAATTAAAAAAACTCGTTACTTTCAACGAATTCACGCACTTGTTGCCCACCAAGAGAAACCCGCACTTTTTACTTGTACTTATTTCTACATTTTACATTTTACTAATTTGGCAAACACTTGTTTTCTTTTTTAAACGCTCTGAACACGCCAACAAGTTTGTTTGATATTTTACAATTATTTTACGATCTTTTTGCTTCAGTTTCACATTTGTTCTATTTTAGGGGAACTGTAGACGAATAGAATTTGCATGTGTGAGTTTAGAGAAAGAATACATTAGTACGTGTAGCGCCCGCACGACATAGCTTCGAAGAATGAACCAACAAGCTGAGCAACGAAATCGGCACATCGGTGTATGCTCCATTGCCGGCCGCCTACCTCCCTACCTACCATACAGCGATTGGGTGCGGAGCGCGCTAGCTATGCAATGACAGCGTTGAGCTCAATCAACTCTGTATCCCCAAAGTGACGGCAGTGCCAGATGGTGAAATAAATCTCAAAATTATTCAAATCTTTTTTTATTTTTTTCGGGAGCATGCGAAGCAGTGCCGTGAGTCATGTGGCGACTCTCCGCATGCCTTACACCAACTGGCCAAATCTGCGTTCACTCTGCTACAGGTACAAGTTTATCCTGCTGCAGTAGCCAGAGCGAAGTTGGGATATTGTGATGATGAAAAAAGCTCTGTCCTGTCCACGTCGGGTGGTTGTGTGCCTAAAACGACATTCACAGGTCGGGAATCGATGTACATAAGTCGAGACCGACTTTTATGACCTGTCGGTATGCAGTCGGGTCCAGAGGGTTTTTATGGCACCCTTAGTGATAGAACTTTTTAGAAAAGTATCGATACTAGTACTCATTTATAATACTCTAAAAAAGAATCGCTGCCAGTACTCATATTTGCAAAAAAGTATCGATAATACTCGTACTTCCAAGTATTTTTAGGGCAAACGCGAAAAGTTAACAGAAATCAGATTGCTTTGTTTACATAAATATACATATGACCTATTTCCTTTTGTAAATTGAATAGACATTGCTTTTAATAGCTGAAGTCTGATCTAACAAGCATTTCTAACGGAGTTTTTGAAAAGATCTTGCAATAAGTTTAAAAGCGTAAAATAAATGTTTATAGCAAAAGGCTTTTTTGAAGCTTTTAAAAACAACTAAAGCCATTGTCTAAAGGAAAGATAAGCTCCCTTTCACAAAAATTTTCTTCGAAAGCGGGCTGGATTTCGAATTTAAAACCAAGATAGAATACATTGGAAAACGAAGGCTCCGTTATTCTGGAAAATTGCCAAGTTATCGAACCGAAAACCACTCTCCTAATCCATTCCTTACACCGGCACAAAAAAAAATTGGTGTGTGCTTTTAACCAGACCCACTTTCCGCCACGTATTTCGAACCACTGAATCTGAATCTGAGGTCCGTTTGACTCGCTTTTGCCATTTTTTTCCACAACTTTCGCAATTAACTCCAAATTTAGGAGGTGTACGAGTCAAATGGACCTCAATAGATACATGTGGATATGTGGGTCTGGTTAACAGCAAAGACCACTTTTTTTGTGTGGACCAGTGTTATCGAAGGCATGGCAAGAGATTCGTTTTCCAATTATTAAAGAAGTTTTAAACGAGCCAAATGTCCACATGACTGCTACCTCTTCTTCTATGTTGTATAAAAATTTCATAGCGATTGCCAGTAGCTCACCAGAGCAAACTATATATTAATTTTTCGTTTTTTGAGTTATGACAGTATTGAAGTAAATGAGCGTTATGCCCATGGGGTAATTTTTAAACATTTTTCAAGTAATTGAAAAAAAATTTTACCTAAACAAGGTTTTAAAACGTCGATACTTTTTGGTATTCGCGATATTTACTCATTACTTGTCAAAAAGTATCGAGTCCTCGATACTACTTAGTACTCATGGAAAGTATCGATATTCTGTACTCGGTACTCGTATTGTTCTATCACTAGGCACCCTACTAGGAACTGCCTGCAGAGCATTGTATTATGCTCATTGATGGGAAGCATCTGGATCCCGTCATGCAGGTGGTGTTGAGGCGATATCAAGAAGGCATCCAGTCGCGGTCCGAAGTGCCGTGTTCTGGCATGTCGGTAGCCTCGTCCACTGCGCCCTGCTAGTCCCCGGCGACCACACGGGCATTCTAGAGCAGTCGTTAGCATAGGAGACAATCGAGACTCACTGCTTCGGTATGTTAAAATTAAACGGCGGGGATAGGACACCCCCCTGTGGAAAACCCTGATCAATTATCCTTGGTTTGCTGCTTTTGTATCTGAAAATAACTGACAAATGTCGACCATTCAGATAGTTCTCCGACCGTCTTATCGTCTTCCTTTAGCCTTTGGCAGATCCAACGCTACTATGTCCTGTTGTTGTTGTTGTAGCGGCTACAACAACCCCGCCCAGGACGGTTGGTATCTCAGTCGTTGTCGTCAAGTTCCACTAACGGCAACCCTAGGAAGCGTGCAGCTTCTGTGGGGTTTGTCCACAGGGACAAGACCGTTAGGGTTGTCGGGTTTTCTGGGCATGCGAAGAGATGTTTCGAGTCATGTGGGGTCTCTCCGCATGCCGGACACTCATTCGGCACATCCTCATTCAACCTACTCAGGTAGGAGTTCAACCTGCTGCAGTAGCCGGAGCGAAGTTGTGCAAGTGTTGTGCGTGTCTCCCGAGGCAGATGAAGCTCCGTCTCGTCTATGTCCGGGGGTGGTATGCCTAGAACGGCATTCACAGGTCTAGAGTCTACATAACTCGAGACTGAGTCCCTGTGAATGCCGTTCAGGGCCTGTCGGTAAGCTGTCGGGTCCAGAGGTTGCTTAATGAACCTCTGGACTTCGTCCGTCAGTTCATATAGATGCCTCCTGACGTGCCTAGGCGAGGGCTCCTCTGCAAGCAGCTGTCTGCTTGGGTGGCCACTTCTGTGGCTCCCAATCAGGAACTGCTTGCAGAGCATTATATTGTGCTCCTTTACAGGGAGCATTTGCGCCTCGCCGTGCAGGTGGTGTTCGGGCGACATCAGGAGGCATCCTGTCGCTGTCCTGAGTGCGATGTTCTGTACAGTCTGTAGCTTCGTCCACTGCGTCCTACTAGTCCCTGGCGACCACACTGGCGCTGCGTAGTTCAAAACCGGCCGGCCTATTGCCTTGTATGTTGCCAGCAACGTTTCTTTGTCTTTGCCCCAAGTACTGCCGGCTAGCGACTCGAGGACCTTGTTGTGGCTCTGTACTTTATTGACAATAGCGGTTGAGTGCGCAGAGAAGGAGAACAGGCTGTCGAATGTTACTCCGAGTATTTTGGGGTTATTCACCGTCGGAATTGGTGTGTCATCGACGTGAATCCCCAGCGGTAGCCTGACCTCCTTCGTCCAGGTTGTGAACAGGGTCGCGGAGGATTTCGTAGGGGAGAGGGCTAGACACTTTGCAGTGAAGAAGCGAGAAAGTTCGGAGAGATACCCGTTTACTTTCGAACAAAGGTCATCAATTCCATTCCCAGTCGCCATGATCGAGCAATCGTCGGCATAAGAGGCAATCGAGACTCCCTCTGGTGGTTGAGGGAGCTTTGAAATGTAAAAGTTAAACAGTAGCGGGGAAAGGACACCACCCTGAGGAACCCCCTGTTTTATTTTTCGCTGCTTACTCGTTTTATCTCTAAACATTACCGACGAATGTCGACCACTCAGATAATTTGCCGACCACCGTTTGAGCCTCTGTGGGAGAGAGGAGGCCTCTATATCTTCTAGTAGCGTGGAATGGCAAACGGTGTCAAATGCCTTTGACAAGTCCAACGCTACTAGAATCGTTCTCTCACAGGGACGGTTTCGGTTAAGGCCACGAGTTATCTGAGTGTTTATGGCGTTAAGTGCTGTTTTTGTACTGAGCACTTTACGGAAACCATGCTGATGCTTCGCTGGGGTCAGGTGGTTTGTGAAGTACGGGAGTAGCAAGGCCTCGAGTGTCTTCGCTACCGGGGAAAGGAGTGTTATCGGACGATACGAATCTCCTTTGTTGGCAGGTTTCCCCGGTTTGAGCAGTGGGACCACTCTCCCCACCTTCCAGATGTCTGGGATGATGAGAGTGGCCATTGACAAGTTGAGGACCTCCGTTAGGTACGCTACCCCCGCAGGACCCAAATTTTTCAGCATCAGCATGCATATTCCGTCGGGACCCATGGCTTTGGAGGCTTTCGCCTTCCCGATGGCCACCTGAACTTCACCGCAAGTGAAAGCAAAGGGGGCACAGGTTGTTGGCAGTTTGTGTTGGCTTTGTCCACCGGAGGATGCATTATGAACTGCCGGCTAAAATAGCTCGCGCATCACTCCGGGTCCGACGAGGCATGGTCGCCGACTCTGTCGTCGTGCTACTATGTCCTCTCAAGGGGCGATTTCGGTTAATGCCACGTGTTATTTGGGTGTTTATGGCGTTAAGTGCTGTTGTTGTAAATACTGTGCAGTTTACGGAACACATGCTGATGCCTCGCTGGGGTCAGGTGGTTCGTATAGTGCGGACGCAGAAGAGACCCAAGTGTTTTCGCTACCGGAGAAAGGAGAGTTATCGGACGATAAAACTCTCTTGTTGGACGGTTTCCCCGGTTTTAGCAGTGAGACCACCTCCCCCATTTTCCAGGTGTCCGGAGTGATGAGAGTGGCTATGGACAGGTAAGGTAGTCTACTCCTGCTGGACCAAAATTTGCCAGCATCAGCATGCAAATTCCGCCAGACCCCATGGCTTTGGATGCTTTCGCCTTCCCGATGGCTACCCGAACTTTACCGCTAGTGAAAACAAGAGGCGCACTAGGTGTTGGCAGTTTGTGCGGCATTTTTGTCCCTATGTGGTGTTGATGCTCATATGTGCATCTGGCAACACTAATGTAATGCGTTTGAAAGGTAACATTTCAAGCTAAATTTTTAATGAAGACAGTTTGTATTTTGTCGCTTGTGCAAAAAGTTATATTGATTCGAAAATGAGAAAAATATCTGAGAAAAACATGCCGAGAAATTTGTGAAGTGTACTGTGAGAATGCTGTGATTGAAAATTTTTGATGTCAAAGATGCCGATGCTCTTCAAAGAAGCTCGATGTTTGGGTGCCACATGAATTAACGCAAAGAAATTTGATTGACCATGAATTGAATTATGTCGAAGTTGGCTCTGGTTAGGGAGTCCAACACGAGAGTTGTCCTCTGGTTAGGGAGACAGCACAGGAAGGTGGGAGAATG